AAAAAAAAAACAATATTATTTTTTAGATTTGAGACACTTGGCCATATGCACAAATAATTTTTTTTTTTAATTGATGAAAACCTGACATTTTAATACCCGATTTATATTGTTACGACGTATTTAATTAGCAAGGCCCAACATAAAGCAATTGGGCCAGTACAGCCCAATATAAAAAAAATGGGCCGACATCAACCTAGCATAAAAACGAAATGGGTCAGCACCGGTCCAACATGAAAAATGGGCCGGAAATAACCCAAAAAATTATAATTTGTTAGCTATTGTGCTGTGCATAGTAACTAGCTAATCATTCATTTGGCTGCAAAATGTGAATTGCTCACGTTTTGCATGCCAATGAAAGGATAAAACAGGATAGAAGAGAGAAGAAAAGAAGCTTACTCAACAAGAGGAGGTGTGGTTGTTGTCGTTGGCAGTGGCTTGCGATGGTGGAGATGGTGGCTGGACCAGTGGCGCTGCTTATGCTTCTCCCTTATTCCTCTTATCTCCCTCTGTTTTCTTTGCCTTTTCTTCTATTTTTTTTTTATTTTTCTTGTTTCTCTCCTCTCTATCATTATTCTGCCTCTCTTTTTCTTCTCTCTTTTCCTCTTTGTTGTTGTTTTTTTTCTCTCTCTATGTTTTCCTTCTCTTCTTCCTCTATTTTTTTCTTTTCTTTCCCTCTCTTGTTTTTTCTGTTCTCCTCTTCTTTCTTTTTTTCATCGTCCCCTGCCTCCTTTCTCCCCTATATTTATAGGGAAAAAAGGAAACCTACACCCCTACCCAATCAAAGGTGCAGGGGTGTAGGGTGGTCGGTGTGGCTAAACAGCGGCCGCCCCTTTACCCCACTAGGGACACCTCACCCTATCTTTAACATGTGGATGTTTTTACAAGTGGAGGGGTCCTTGATTGATGTCTTTTTGGGTCATCGAGGGAAGGGGAAAACGTTGAGAACAAGGGAAGAAAAAAATCTTCTTCTTCCCCTGCTTCGCACGTCTTAAGGAAGAAGAAAACCCACAATGCCTTCAAAACAGCATCGTTTCAACCCTTTTTTCTTAAAAAAAAAAAATGAACAATAGATGAAATGACATCGTTTTGGATAAAACGAATCGTTTCATTAAAAAAAGCGATAAAAAATGTCAAAGTACAAATCAATCTTTAATTTATATTTTGTTGAATTAAGTCCAAAATTGCAAATTTTGATTTAAAAATTAATGCAATTGCATCCCTGCTGAAAATCAAATGATAGTCTTGAAGTTGGTTGCCTTTTTCACTTTGGTCATTGGTATTGAATTTATGCAATTTGACCCTCAATTAATCAATAAACTTTTGATTTTTTCATTTTGATCCCTAATTTGGTTTTAATTATAGCCCCTCTATTTATGCGCTTTTTCTAGTTGGTCCTTGGTTTCATATTTCTTTATTAAAGTCCTTAATTGGTCATTAAATTTCAATATTTATGCAATCAAGCCCTTGATTTGACTAAATTAACTCTAAAAATTATAATTTGACCCAGAACTTTAATTTCTTTCAATTAAGAAATTAAAGCCCAAATTGACTTTAAAATCAATTTTTCTTACAATTAAATCTTCTATAAATTTAATTAAACCTTCAATATAATTTTATTGAGTCCATAAATATCTAACCTTGAACTTTTCTTTGTCAATAGGGCTTTTATTAGTCAATAAAATACTATTAAATTTTAATCTTTGTATTTTTGAAGCTCCTTAACTAATTTTTGACCTTTTTTAAGCGTTCCATCATCCTTTTTTTCATTGTTATTATTATTTTTTATTTTTTTCAAACATATATTTTTGATTGATTATTTTTTTATTTTCTTTTGTTTTTGCACAGAGACCTAAAAATGGGTTACAACAATTAATATTTTATTATTGTAGCAATATTGAAGTTGTGCATTTTAATTTGTCTTTTATAGAATTTATGTTTGGTGGTAATTAATTTTCATGCCACACATATTGCTTATTAATGTATCATTGAAGGGTGATTTAGGCTTCTTCAAAGAAAAAGCCTAAGGATGCACTCGCATTAAGATTTACATGTTGCTGTGATTGTTGAAATAAATTAGAGCCTTTGTTATATGTAAGGTGTCACAAGGCGACATCAAATTGTGCACTTTTTTGCTTATTGAGAGGTGGTGGGAAAGGAAAGGATTTTGAGTTTAATCATAAAATTATGATTGATGTTTAGGAGTTGCCACTTACTATTACAATTACTAGAAAACATATGGTCTTTGAGAGTCCGCGTAACATACTGCTTATACAAGGAAAAGATGCATCACCCATAGAACACCTTACCTAAAATAAAATAGATTGTTATTCTATGTCATTTTTATGTTCGTTGGTCTTATCTAAGATTCAAGACAATTCTCTTTTCATGACAAAGTCTTTACCTTATCAGGATAAATCTTAACCATTCTAAAATTTAAATTTTAGCATTGCATTTATTTTGCACTTTGTATTTTTAACATCTGAGGCTGTACTCCACATTATAGTTTTATATCTCTAAATATTAAAGTTTACAACTAAACCCTAACACTCTAAATGTAAATTGAAGAAAATGATTGGTGAAAGATTTTTATATTTTGGTCAAACTCTAAGACATAATTATAAACTAGTTACAATATTCATTTTTGCATTTCAAAACATGAGAAAGATGCATTTTCATTTTATTATTTTTTTTTGTAAAAATAATGCTTAGAAAAAGTTTAGGATTTAAATGTGTGCATGAAAACCGAATATTTTTATTTTTTTTCAAAGAGAATTAATTTAAAATTTTTTAAGATTTTTTTAATCTTCAAATTCTTTTAAGAAACGTTTCAGAGAAAATCAAGTGTCTTAATACTAAATTTGTATCTAACAGTGTAAATACACAACTCGATATTATGCAGAATTAATAGAAAAACATGCTAGAAAATCACAAATTTTTTTAAAGGACCTTTTGAATTTTTTTTTTTTGAATTTTCTTATATTTTAATATTATTTATTAATATATTATTATTATATTAGGTTGGGCTGCGGTGGGATGGGTTCAGCTTGGGCCCATTAAAATGGTTGTCGATGAGGGGTTTTGAAGTGAAAAAGAAAGAACAACTTTGCTTGGCAGGAGGGAAGATCATGCACTATGGCCGAAGGTGGTGGTGTCGTCGAAGGTGGAGAAAAATTAGGTGAATGGAGACTAGAGGAGGAGAAGGAAAAAACCAGGGTAGAGATGATTTTTTTGCCAACTTTTGACATTGATTTTTTGATGCTTAGAGCATGAAATCCATCTTTATTTATGGATGGTGGAAAAGGAACATTTTTTCTTTACTTGTGTGAAATCTTGACCCTTGATTTAGTTTAGAAGGACATCCTGAAAAAATTTGTTGCTAAAGGCTAGTCGAGTTTGTTATTTTGAGGCAGCGTCGCAGTTGTTGTAAAGGCAATTTGTGAGAAAGATCTAACTACAGGGTGTAGTATAATGTCGGATGATTAGTACTTAAAAGTGTATTTTTATCAAGGTTTTATATCATCATTTTGCACTCGAAGTATCAATAACTCCTTAACTAAAGCATGTTTTATAATAATATATCTAATAATATAAGATACCTTTAATTTATGATAAATGTTCATTTTAAATGCAAGCCTATCACATAAATAAAAGGATTGATTGATGAATTTAAGAACTGAAATTGAAAGGACAAAGAGATGGCTAAACTTAGAAAAGAGATGTCAGTGTAGTCCAAACCGGAACACTGTTCAATAATTGGATCATATCTGGAGTTGTAGATCTCAGATTTAGGTCTACTTTATATGGATGGAAAGGTAAGACATAGGCCTACAACTTTTATATGGAGCCCAAGATCTAAAAAGGCCATTTTCAAGTCCAAATTGTAGCAACAACAAAGAAGTCCGAATCTGTCTTCCAGCCTGAGCACTGTTCAGTGTTTGGCCCATATCTGGAGTTTTAGAAGTCCAAATGACCTGAATTTTTTACCCACGAAATATGAGACAATTTCCTACAACTTTCATGTTTTTAAGTGGCTCCAAGTTTGACATTATCAATGACATTTTGGGCAAACAAGAGAAGATAAGGATTGTCACCAAGTCAAGAATTGGTCACCCATTCATCAATTAGTCATCAAATCAATAGTTCCCAATTTTGGCCTATAAAAGGAGGCATTTGCCATGCATTTAGGCATCTTGATGTCCAGATCAAGATCATGCTCTTGCATTTAGGCATCTTGGT